CCGGTACCCCGAACCGACCGTCCAGGTACCGCATGTCCGCTAACGTCCATCCTGGCCCTCGGCGCCCAGGTCATGTCCGCTATCGACACAACGCCAGGACGACCGCAGTCGGAGTGACTCATCCTCGTCTGGACAAGCACACTGTCGATGTAGGTGGCATCCGTTTGCTATCTATACAGTTAGGCTTGAACGCTTTTGAGTTCTTCTTGATTTATATGGAATGAAATGTTTTTAAATGCACGATTTTGCACAAGTCTGTGCATTTTTGGCACACTGCTCGGTGCTGTTAGGGACGTGTTTCTAGCATAATGCCCCCCCCCCCTTTATCCCCCTTCATAAGCGGGCGGAGTTCACACGCAAACCTAAGCCGTTGTCAACTAGCCCTGCGACTCGCCCGCAGCGCAAGTAAGTCGTGGTTCGTAAACTCCCCCCCCTCCCCCCCCCCCCCCCCCACACACACACACTGGCGCGCAGTGCGTCGACCCGTGACGCCCGACCAGCTGGACAGCGGGAGAAGAGAGGAAAGGGGGGGAGGGGCTGGGCTGGGCTAGCGCGCGAAAGGAAACAGTTGCAACTTTTTGGGGAAACTGCTGCACAACATCCCAGCGGGGCTGCATTCACGGTGTAAAAGTGTGACCGGTCCCAACGCGACAAAACTGGTTCCGTGGGGTTGTGTTGTGTGTGTCAACCGAGGAGTAAACTCAGTCAAAGACGGACATGTGCAGCTTTATCATTGTGCTTTGTGGGCTTTTGTGAACGGGGAAATAATATGTTGACGTAATAACGCTCTTTACGTGACTAAACCTTGATTCCGTCCTGCTCTGAGACCCTCGTCAGACACTTGGTCATAATACTGTTACCATTACCGCGTGTGCGAACTGCAACTGCATTTGAACATCGTACGCCTAACGCCTACGCCCACTCGCGTAAATGCGGTAAAATTTTAACTGCGGAAGTGTCTCTCTCGTACCTCGGGTTCCTTTGCAGCGCGGCATATGCGGGTCGAACGCTGCCGATTGCCAGCCGCTGGCGCCGCCCCTGCCGCCTCGTGCCGTCTGTTAAGGGAGAGGGCTCCTTGGGTATTCCAGGCGCTGTGCGCCGCCATGTTGGGCGCATCAGCTGGGCGTATGCGACTTCCGGCGTGGCGAGGCGCGGTGCGGCGCCCGCGGGTTCATCGACACGTACAAAGTAGCTGTGATACGGCTCACCGATGCCCGCCCCCTCCCTTTCCTCCCTTTTCCCTCCCACGCGCTTGCAGACCTTCATCCTCAGGCCTTGCACGCTCTTGCAACAGCAGAGCCATAGTCACGTGACTTGGACCAAAGTTTTCAGTCCCTATCAAAACGGGAATGTTTCCCGCGTCCGTGACCCTCGCTCGTCGAAGGATGCGGATGAAAGGAGGAGGAACTATGCGCCAAGAGATTCGTGCTGCCCTGTGGCATCTGGAGTGGCAAGCTTGCCTTAAGGCCAGAGGCTATATATCGAATCCCTTGTAAACCCTGAAAAATGTTATCCTAGCCTTTGGCGTTTTGTTCGGATTCTTGTTTTACTTTCACTTTTTTCAGTAGGCAGGGTGAATAGAATAAAATTTTAAGTTCAAACGTGGACTTTGGCCGGCTCTGCCACACGAAACTATTTTGAGAATTAAGAATTCTTATGTTCACTCAGTCCGACGTGGCATGTGGTGGATAGGCTATCGAGGTCCAGTCTGCCATGTTGTTACACGCGTAGTCACGCCATCAGCCTGATAGTGAGGTGGGGCCCCATTGGGATCGGCGCGCGTCCCGCCCCGCCCCGCACACCCCCGCCAGACCCCGGCGCCCTGCCTCTAATCTCGCCAGTAATATAGACTCGCCCCCAGGGTGGCATGGCGTGGCGTGGCGCGGTGGGGTTGGTTGGGACAGACGACATCGTCTCTTGCCTTTCATTCAGTCCGCAGCGCCATGAGAATTGGCCCCCGCCACGCCACGCCACGCTATCTCGCAGTGTCTGCCCGGCGGGTGGTGGGCGGGACGCAGTTCAGTTTGGCCGGACAAGCTGTCCCACCTCCCTCCCCCCCACCCCAATTCCCCCAACCCATGACCCTCCGACTCCTCGTAATCTCTCCCCCTCGGAATGGAATGAAATGGCGTTATTGTCGCCGGATCCTGTCGCGGCTCCCCCGTGGCGCCTGGGGTGCCTCATGCTACCCCGTGGCGTCCCGGGGTGCCTCATGCTACCTCGTTCCGTCCTGGTGTCCCTCTTGCTGCCTCGTGGCCCCCGGGTCCCCGGGTGCAGCGTGGCGGGCCCGTACCAGGCGAAAAGAGGTGTCCTGCCTCCTCCTGCCGCCAGTCAGCCGGCCATGGGTGGGGGCGCGGCATTGGGGGGCAATTGGCCGTCGGATGCACTCGGTGAGGTGGGGCCGGTGGGACGGGCTTATGGGCGTGGGGGCCCACGCGCGCCTCGCGTTATGCAAAAGCTGCGTGGTTATTAGGGCCGTTCACAAAGCAATAGGTCGCACAAGCTGGTAACGGGATGGGGCGTCCCCCCCACCCCGCACCCCACCCCGTCAACCGCAGTCTGTACGCACCACACACTCTCACCAGTGCATTACCATGCGCGATGATTGTTCGCACGCCAACACGCGCTTTGCGTGACGAATAAGTAATTGAATGCTTCTCTTTTTATTACGGCGCCTGTTCGGTATTTCACTCCTGCATCGGATATCGCTTCTCTCGCTCTCTATTACATTACGGACTCTACGCTAGTTAGCGGGCCTATACGCACTCGTTTATTACTTCGTGGCGGAAACAGAGTCTACCTCTAGTACCGCGTTTATTTTTGGTTGTGCACTGTGGGAAATACTTGTCAGGGGCAAGGAAAAAATGTCCATGCTGTGTCGTTGTAAAATAAATATGTAACGTTCTGAAATTACAAGTACTGCGTATCGACTCGGAATTAATTGACGAGCAAGAAATGGGCTGGCGTAGATTAACCAAAATATTTTGTAAATCGAAATCAGAAAATAGTTCTTAAAATTTTACCAAGATAACAGTTCACAGTGGCGAGAATAAGCGCGATGGATGATGCAGCCGTGCTTCATAAAGCGCATGCTGCTGCTGCGGGGCTCGTTGGACCAGCGACAAATGGCCCCCTGTCGCGGCCGGCGCGGCGCATGGCGCCCTGCGCCCTGCAGCGGCTCGCTTTCAAACGGCCCGTGAGAAAAGGATTGTCTGAATACAGTATGGACTACGCCTGGATCGTGGCTGGTTGCGCAGATAATCCGCAGGCCTATTCCATAGTGTTGTAAGTGTTGATCAAGGTGTCATGCAGCTGAAATCCAGTCGACATTCAGTTCGCAGCCAGGCGCGATCGCCGTGCCTTACTACGGCTGAGTCCCACCTGAGACTCGACTGGGGTCTCTCTGGATCTGGCCTGGATATGGAACAAATCCATGCATTTCTCAGAACACATCCAGGACAAATCCAGTCGAGACCGGGGCAGCTCAATAAAGAAAGAAACTGAAAATCAGTTCGCCTGCCCGGTGTCGAACCTTCGACTGAGGGACGACAGCCCGAGACGCTATCCACTGGGCCAGGGCGGATCGTTGGAGGCGAGGGGCAGCGCACCGGTGTGGTTCATCCGGCTTGCGGCAGTAGCAAGCGGTGGCCAGCGGCGACTGGCCAGCGAATGACACCGGTGCGCTGCCCGTCGCCTCCAGCGATCCGCTCTGGCCCAGTGGATAGCGTCTCGGATTGTCGTCCCTCAGTCTAAGGTTCGACACCG